GGGGAGGGGTGGTTTCTGCCACTGCACACAGGCCAGGGAAGGCATGGGGGGCACGTGCCCCCCCGATTTGTGCACAGGGCAAGGGTTGACAGCCCGCTGCGGGCTTGGGCCAGGGGCTGTGCCAGCCTCTTCCTGGCGAGGGTTGGGCCGGGGCTGCACTTGGCTTAGCAACATTCAAACTGCAATGCATTGTCTTCACTTTTCCAGCTTGTTCTCTCTCCATTATGCAAAGCTCAGTTGGTTGATATGGGTTTCTCAGTGATCAGGAAGGTTAATGGTAATGAGGCTGCATCAATAATGTTGCCTGCTTCTATAAAACACCACCATCCTTTGGATTTCCCTCACCATTTCTTCTTCAATATTTGAAAATTACCTCTTCCACCCAAACACCACTCTGCCTTATTTGCTTAATGTAACTTTGCTACAGAAAAATATGCTTTAATGTTTTCTTGTTACTTTCCTAAATGCATTGGAAGAGAGGGACATTTAGTTTTCCAAATTTAAATTAGGAAAGATTAAGCTTTAAAATATATTTGTGTGTCATATTTTTCCATTTTTTGTGGTGCTATGTCAACAGCTTCTCTAATATATAGTGTTGAAACGAAACTCTTTAAATGTTTTTTCTAGGCCTGCAGTTGGGCTGGATTGCATGTAAACATATAGAAAAAAAAAGATGGTGTGAAAACTCACAACAGGAAGTAGAAGGAATAGAAGAAGAAGAAATTACCCCACCCCAAGCAAGAAAAACTAAAGGAGGTGAGTATGTGGCAGCTCTGGATCAATAAAGAACAAACAGTGCCATATGGCTGCACTTCAGGCATACGCAGAATAACCAAATAATACATCTTCAGTGTGCCTACATTACTTAATTGGCAGCCATGCTGCCTGAGATTAGCAAATATTTGCAGTAAAGCCTACAGTGGGGGAAAAGGGTTTTCTAAAAATACTGATGTCATTTCCTCACATTGATTTCATTCTCAAACTAGCTTCTGACCTCATCCTATTCCCACGTGTCAGTGAACGCTGTTAGTGTCAAAGTGGGTGCCATTTCACATACAATTTCTCTTAAACACATGCAGCTCCTTACCTGAATGGTAGAAATATAAAATCCACTACTGCTTGGTCCCAGTTACTCGTTCTTTCTTACACACTACCCTACTGAGTATTCCAAGCTTGCTGTTCTTGGACACATCTAGCTTGCGTTACCCCTAATTGAATATCCATTAGGATAAAGTGGGGAAGAACAGAGCAACACTGAGCATTTTCTTCATGGCTCTATAATCTCATAAGGTCAATATTAAGGAAACCACTAACTTCAGTCACTTAAAAGCTTGTCCACAGCTTTGTAGACAAAAATAAAGGGGGGAGGGGAGAGGGAAGGAATGGATACAAGCAAACAGGATTTTTTTTGCCTGGTCAGATAAGTTACTTTAGGAGTTACAATAATGAATCACTAGGAACAACATACCTAAAGCTCTGAAATGCAAGGTCTGTTGTAGACTCCCACTGTTCTTTCATGGTACAAGGCTTTTACCTGCAATTTTAATTATATCAAATATGACCCCAGGGGCACTCACCTTGCAGATGCTAAAAGACAATGGGCTTCTTCATATAGCAAATGGAGAGAAGTTGGCAGTATTGGGGCCTTAAGTGTAAAAGAAATCTTGGAAATGAAAACATGTCCAACATATAAATGAACTAAGTATATTTGGAAATACAGGTAGTCCTTGACTTAAATCGTTTCGAGTTACAACAAATGGCACTTGTGATGCTTGTAAATTGACACCATGGCATGCCAAGCCACGCCAGTGAACAAGTTCACTGAGTTGCTCATCTCCCTGGAGAACATCTGTTCAAACTTCCTTGGATATTTTCTTTAAGAAACCAGACAAGACCCCTGAGAAGACTCCAGCCAAGAACCCTTCAAAAAGTCCAACAGTCACCTCAAAGAAGTTCTTCCAATTCAATATGATTGTTATTTACAATAGAAATACATTAATGTAGCTATATTACTCATCTATAATTAATCGAGTACAAAATTCTGGGGTATTTTTGGTGAAAATAGGGTATGGGGCCTTGGTTCAGGAACCAACCCCCCATTTTATAACATTGTTCTTATGGGAAAATTGGTTCCAAGTTGCAACGTTTTGACTTAAGACACGGTTTTCAGGAACCAATTGTCGTAAATCCGAGGACTACCTGTACATATTTTAAGCGTTACTCTGATATTTGATGCATCCTGATACCAGGAGGATCAGAATCAGAAGTCCTGGGTCATTTCAAACTCCTCCAAACCTTTCTGACTAGAACAAGGATTTGAAAAAATGATGACATGGGTATCAGAGAGCATAGATGGGATTTGATTGAATATGTCCCTCATTGATAGAGCCAGGGACATGATGTAGTCATGTCAAGATGGTTCTGGCACTTCTGCAGGATTACTAGGGAACAAGAGCAAAGAAGGGGCATGTCCCTCATGTCCCTCAAGCTGGGGAAACAAATGTTTCTCACAACCATTATCCCTTAAGCAGTAGACTATCCAACTCCAATTTTCACTAAGTCACTAGGCCTTGCTACAGACCCAGATGCCAGCTGTATCCTCTCATCAACACTGACCACATCATTGAACCAAACAATACAAATAACATC